TATCCCATTTAGGGCTGTCAACCTGCATAGAAGGGAACAACTATGAATATTTTATATTTACTTTTTATTTAGTTTTTTAGTTAGTAAAATGTAATTAAGTAATTTTAATTTATATGTACAAAAAAGGTTTTTGAATAGATGTCCATTCCTTTGATGTAAAACAATAAATTCACATCACAAACCCAAAACTGAATCATTTTATATGATACTAATTATTTAGAACTTCTATGTAATCTAATGTATCTAAATAGAACTTGTGTACATTTTAAAGATAAAGATCACTTTAGATCAATGATTAATCATATCAACACAAAATATAATTATTATGTGTGACAAAGATAAGGGAAAAATAAGGCACAAAGTCCTTCAATTATAGATAGTTTCATACAAAATATTTAGAGACTATAATACGATTGAAAGTTAACAACAATTGCGAGAGACGATCTTAAAACATGTGCTCAATAAGGTAATATCCAGCACAGCCATCACGCATTACAGTAATCTGTGAAAATGATCTGTAAGACATAATAGAGAATAATTAAAAATTTAAAAACAAAAAATAAACTTTGACTTAAATAAACTGGTTGAGGTCATATTCTTGATTAAGTCCCCTAGGTGTTAGGGAATCTAATTCCCTGATCCAGTATGCTTCTCTGAATAGTATTCTTTTTAATCTATCACCTCGTCTAGAGCTTTCCTCCACATGCTCAATGATTTGAAATTTGAGTTGAGTTATATCGTGTTTTGCTTCCACAAAATGCATTGGAATAGGTAATTCCAGCATTTTTGTTCTTATTGTGGACTTATGTTTTGAGAGTCTCTCTTTCATTTTTTGAGTTGTTTGACCTACGTAAATTAAACCACAAGGGCATTTTAAAATATAAACAACATGTGTAGTATCACATGTGACAAATTGTCTAATCACATATTTATTTCCCTTATGGGGATGGGCAAATATCGAACCCTTTATCATGGAATTGCAACATATACAATTATAACATGGAAAATTAAAAATTTTGTTAGAATTTGATTTTGATTTTAATGGAAAAGATAGTTCAGCTTTTACTAGCCTATCCCTCAAGGAAGGAGCACCTTTATGAACCATCAAGGGTTTATTTTTAAATTCAGCGATATTTGGGTGACAATTCGATAACATATGCCAATGTCTGTCTATAGTTTGTTTTATATCAGAGGATAGTGTACTATATCTAGATACAATCTTGATTCTGTCTTCTATTTTGACTCTCTTAGATGAAATTATGCCATGATTTTCATCCCTACTATTTATATGTTCCAATTCAGTTTGTAAAATGTATTAAGGGTATCCTCTCTCACAAAATCTCTTGGTCATAAATTTCAACTGTTGGTCTACCAATTCTGTTTTAGAGACCAACCTTTTAACCCTCATAAATTGACTCCTGGTTATGGATTTGAACATTGAAATAGGGTGAAAGCTGTCAAAGTGTAATAATGCATTTCTATCTAACGGTTTCCTATAGAGATTTGACTCAAGTTTACCATTGTTCTTAAAGATCACAATATCCAAGAAAGCAATGGAACCTTGGTTCATTTCCATAGTAAATTTGATGCTGTCAGAACAATTATTAAGAAATTGGAAAAATTCTTCGAGGGGTTCCAATGGGCCACACCACAATGCCAGCACGTCATCGATATAATGCCACATTCCCCAATGGAAGTCTATGCATTTGGGCTATTAAAGGTAGAGCAGACTGTTTGTGAGTTAATTTCCTATTTTCTCCTGCACTCTAGCTACCTTTATCCTAAAATATTATACCATATATGTTTTTTGTCCTTTTTTATGTACCTCATTTGGAGCTGTGGTTTATCTCAGCAATGCTGTTAGTGTAAGTTGCAATTTTTTTATGCACTATATCACTTTCAGTGGTTTTTGCAGTTTGCACTCTTAGATATTTTACACATATATGTTGATTGTCTACATCCACCTTATCACTTGTGAATGAGGTGGTATATTTCACTTTGTATTACACATGTGATGCTGCTAAATGAATTTCCACTTTCAATTTTAACGCACCTTTTTTTCTGTTTTATTACAGTTGGAGTGTTTTTGGGCTAATACACAATATAGGTGCTGCTTTATTCTAAAAGATTTTATCTATATATTTTGTGTTTGGAATTTTAAGTGCCAATTTTTCACTTGTTTATTGTATTTCTATTAAGTAAATAAATTTGACATGTATAAACTTGTATACTTAGTGAATACAAATGGATGTCTATTATGAAATGTGAGTGTAAGGATAATAAATAAAGGAGATGGGGATTTTAGGCACTATAATTTCTCCAAAAGGAAGGAAAATTATATGTATATCAGTGAATGAAGGGTGTGAATTTGAATTCCTCATTGAGACCATCTGGGGCTAGAGTTTTAAAATGATAAATCCATCGTGATTCCTTCATTAGTAACATTTTGTTAAAGTTACCCTTTCTGGAATTCATAATCAATTTGTCTAATGCCTGGAACGTTAGATGAGTGGGATCACCCCCATGATGGTGTCTGACATGGTTAGATACTGAAGTGGATATATTAGGGTTTGTGATGGAACATATATGCTGTAGAATCCTTCTTCTCAGTTTTTGATAGGTTTTCCCTGTGTATTGGGTGCCGCAGCTGCATGTTATCAAGTATATGGCTTTTGTAGAATTGCAATTGATGAATTCTTTGATCTTGTATTACTTTGTGGTTTTTATACTTGTGACAGTCTTAGAAGGTTTTATGTATTTACAGGCTCTGCAGTGTTCACATTGATAAATTCCAGTTGTAGGCGCAAGCATGTTGGTTTTACTTTCATAGGTTCAATGTGGCTATGTACAAGATAGTCTCTCAGGTTCTTTAACTCTGCGTGCTGTAATATGAGGGAATTCACTGATATTGTCTTTCAGATCGTTATCATAGTTTAAAATTGGCCAATTATGGGACATGATTTTCAGTATTGGTTCCCAGTATTGGTCAAAAGTCCCTATACAAAGAATGAGTTTAGAGTCTGTCTTAGGTCGTGTAGTTCTCAGACTAATACTTCTATCTTATGCTACTGCTTGCTGATATGCCCTTTTTAAATTTTGTTAGGGTACCCTTTTTGTTTGAATATTTTTCTTAGTGTTTTTTGCTTCTTGGTTAAAGATTTCGTCATTCGAGCGGTTGCATCTGACTTGTAGGTACTGGCCATTGGGATTGCCTGATTTAAGTTTTACTGGATGATGACGGGTCCAGTTGAGTAAATTATTTGTTGTTGTAGTTTTTCGGTAAAGTTCAGTTTCAATTTGGCCATCATCAAGGATTTTGATATTCAAGTCCAGGAAAACCAAATGTTTAGCATCAATTATGTGGGTAAGTTCTAGGCCTAAGTTATTTACATTCAGTGCCTTAACTAGCTTTTCAAACACAGCCACAGAGCCCAACCAGATGATCAGAATATCATCGATATATCTGAACCAACTGTCAATATACATCTTGTAGTTGTCTTTGATGGTTTCCTCCAGTATTGTTTCTTCCTACCATCCCAAGTAAAGATTTGCATAGCTTGGGGCACAGGCAGTTCCCATTGCATTGCCCCTGAGCTGGAGGTAAAATTGACCGTTAAACACAAAAAAATTATATGTTAAAATATATTCTAGTAGATTGATGATAAAGTCGCTTTGGGCTGTGGTAAATTTAGTGGATTTGTGCAGAAAGTATTTAGTCACAATCAGACCTTTCTCATGGGGGATGTTGTTGTAAAGTGCAACAACATCTAAGCTGCCCAATAAGAAATATGGTGGTACTACTAGGTTTTCTAACAGAAGTAGTGTTTGTTTCATATCTTGTAAGTATGATTTAAAGCCAGCCAACAACGGATGTAGTAATTTCTCTAAAAATGGACTGCTTCTCAGTGATAGAGCCATTACCAGAGACTATTGGTCTTCCTGGATGGTTGTTGGTATTTTTGTGGATCTTAGGGAGGCAGTTAAAAGTGGCAATGGTTGGGGTCAAGTGAGGTAGTAGAAATTTATATTCTTCCTGAGTTAGAATGCCATCTTCTACTGCTACTTCCAAGATCAATTTTAATTCTGTCAGATACTGTGTAGTAGGATATTTTGGTAATCTACTATATGCCACTGGATCTCTCAAGTGTTCCATACATATCTCAATGTATTTTTCTCTGTCTAGCAGTACTATATTACCGGCTTTGTCGGAGGATTTGATAAGATTCGGTTCTTGACTCAATTCCAATAGGGTGAGATTGTCTTGCTCGATCCTAGGAGTAGTAAGGGATTCAATCTCTGTTGTGGTAATTTTTATGACTAAATCAACACTTGATATTTCACTTAGATTAGGAGTGAACCAACTTTTAGGTTAAAGATTGGTAAGTGGTGGTTCTATGTTTTTTTCTTCTAGTAGAGATAATAGTTTTTGGTAGTGTTGAAAATCTTCATAAGAGAGACCGGCTTCTTTAGCTAATTCCTTCTTTTGTGTACCACATTAAAAGCCAGTTTATGGCCAAATAGGTTAGTGTCCTTAATCCAGTTAAAATTGTTTGTATTTGGGTTGGGTACAAAGGATAGTCCTTTGTTTAAGAGCGAAAAGTGGTGTTGTTGGAGGGTGAATTTGGACAGGTTAATAATCTGATTCCGATTATCACTCATTTGTTCTGATTTATTCTTCTGTCTGTTTTGTATCCCCATCTCTTTCTTTCTCTAAGTTTACCTCTTTGTGGGAGAGGCCAATCTTCCTCTAAAAAAGGAAGCTTGAGGGGGCGGAGCCAGCAACCAAGCCAAGAGGACGCACATGCCTCGAGCACCGAGTAAAAAAACGCTCAATTCAGCTAAAAAATAGTGAAAAACCTACCCTAACCACACCCTTTGCAGCAGATTGCTCTCCAGACAGCATGGGGCGATGAAATAAAAAACCAAAGCCGTATAGACCCCCTACAACGGCTGATATTGGAGTCCTCCTGCGGAGGCCCCAAAATTCCCAAAGGCCCGCAATGGCGTCTCGGATAGAAGGCATCTATAACTCATCTAGCAAGGCTTCTGTGTCCGATGAGGGTGACTATGGCGCTCCAGCTGGGAGCAGACTGATCCACTCTCCTGCGAAACCTCTGATCACAGAGGAGAAGCTGAGGGACATGCTTGGTGAGCTGCGCCACAATATTGCAGCTGACATTGGCAGGTTCCGCAAAGAGATCAGCGGAGTATCGGCCCACCTGCAAAACACTGAACTTAACACTGCCGCACAGGAGAGCAGACTTGCAAAGGTGGAGCAGCAAGTCTTAGTTCTGCAAAAGGCCCAACGACAACATCAAGACAGCATGGCTGCGCTTGAAGATAAGAGGCGTTGGAAGAACATCAAAGTCCGTGGCCTACCTGAAGCGGTGGAGACCGCAAAACTACCACACCTATTCCGCAGAATGCTGGGAATGCTCTTCCCGGCCAAACAGGCCAAAGGGAAGCCACTAGACAGCTGCTATCGGATCACCAAACCTCAGACAGGTACTTCAGAGGGAGGAAGAGATGCAATTGTGCGCTTCCAGCAAGGCCGAGATGGCCTTCATGGCGGCAGTGTGCAATAAAACCCCCCTACACTTTGAAGGACATTCCCTGACCTTTTACCCTGATATATCGAAAGCAACCATTGATTGGAGAAGGTCCCTGAGACCATTAGCTACAGAGCTCCTTGCTCACGATATACCTTACAGATGGGGAACACAAGAAGCCTGCTCATTCCCAGGGAGACCGGTAACTTCAAAGTACGAGAAGCAGCTGAGATTCAAGCCACACTACAGAAACTAGCACTGGCTGAAGTTAACCCACCGACGACGTCCACTACCTGGAATCCTGCTATAGTACACCCGTTCATACTGGCAGCCCAACGAGGAGAGACAACATCCACTTCGGTGCCCTGAACTTTCCTGTAACTAATTAATATTGCCTGTTGCTGTTATGTATAGCTCACATTTTCTTAATTCTCCATGAGCAACCTGCCCCACGCATATACATTGACTACTAGTCTTGCGACACATAGGCATAAATTGCGTACTAGATGTTATCAATGCCGACAATTGTTTACCCTGTTGTTTGAAAAACTTGCACCAGCTGTTGTGGCAATGCAAGCATGTATGGCCTGTTTATGCACAACGAAAATAAAGAATTATAAAAAAAGGAAGCTCGACAGTTCTGTCAGTAGTATTGTTTATTTCCGTAGTATCTGGAGCTGGAGTTTCTAGGAAGGTTATGTTTCTGGTTTTTAGAATACTCCTCCCCCTTTGGGGTTTTGGTTGATCTTTATTATGGTAGTTTCTAGAATGTCTAGTGATACTTGAGTCGGGGTCAGACCAATCAGTATTTTCCTGATTCCTGGAACTGCTCCTACTGTTGCTACGTGTCCTATATTTCCTCTTTGTATGAAAGATGTTACCTTCTTTAAAGTCTCTATGATCCCTTAGAAACGTATCCATTTTTCTCCTTTACGTGTTTTTTCAAAAGTTCCCGATTTTTTTCTTTTTTTGTAGATTTTTTTGTAACTTTTTTTCTAACAGGGGGAATTATATTTTGTCCTTAAATCCCTTTTGATTTACAGTTTCTAAGTTTTCTGATTCAAGTTTGACATATTGTATGTTTTATGCAGCTACTTTTAAGGGTCTATTTGAACTATATCTTTCTTTCTTTCTTTATACTTATTCAATTATTTATTTAAAAGTTCTTATATAGCCCTCATATCCTGGTCTCTACACTTAATTTGGAAAATAGTCATAGGCAGGGTACTAGACCACACTCTATGTAAACTTCAAGTTACGATTTAATAACCTGGGTTATCCTCCCCTTGCTTTCGGCATAATTTTAGTCCCAGGCGCTTTTTCATGTGGCAGAAAGTCTCACCTATTAACCTGTGCCTGCCACTTATGGCTGTTTGAATCCATTATAGAACTTAGCTGATATTGCAGCTTACCCCTTGCAACCGCTACCACCTCTCGCTTCAACACGAGTATAATTATCATAGACAGCGTATATCGCTAAAGGCTACGAATTGCCGCGCTTGTATGTCATAACTGCGATTTCATACTGATCTGAGTAGCAGTTGCCATTCCCAGCTATATCATTTTTGAGTTGTAACTCTGACACCGATGTGTGCTTATTTATACACTTAACATATTCGGGATATATTTTTGCATTTGATTCTTCATAGGGCACTGATATATTTGGCATCAGTTCCTACTAGGTAACAATAATTTATTTAGATGTATTACTTTCCTATTTAGGACTTTTTAGGTATTTTTTGTATATATGTATATATATATATATATATATATATATATATATATATATATATATTTTCTATTTTCTTTTGCCTATTGGGTTTTTCACATTTTGGTTTGTACACAGCACATAAGGTGTTTGTCATTTGGCAATTTTTACATTCTTGTATTAATAAAGTATTTTTTATTTTCCATATTATATATTGAGATTTCTCTTTATCTGGATTGATCACTTGTACTTGTATATTTGTTATTCATCCTAGCTCCCCTAAATTTGGTACACTACTTCTCTCTCTTTATATAATGCAGACCTAGGCGCTCACTAACATCAGGATATGGTCCTCTGACAATGCACAGGGAAAGATGACAGCCCCAACAATACACCTTGAGGGAGCAAACATTGACACTAGAGAGGGGACACTCACAAACTCTGACTGACAGAACCAACGTTGTTAACTGGGACAATGCATGCAGCATGTGTTCTTCTCTTTATCCTCTACCCCACTTACCCTTAACTGTTTCCACTGGAGTTGATATCCTCACCTAATTCACCAAACCCCCATGCTTATCCTGATGGTAAGACAGAGCAGAGGTAACTCCAGCCCACAAGCATGGAGATACAGTCAGGTCCATAAATATTGGGACATCGACACAATTCTAATCTTTTTGGCTCTATACACCAACACAATGGGTTTGAAATGAAACAAACAATATGTGTTTTAACTGCAGACTTTCAGCTTTAATTTGAGGGTCACATCCAAATCAGGTGAACGGTGTAGGAATTACAACAGTTTGTATATGTGCCTCCCACTTTTTATGGGACCAAACGTAATGGGGCAGATTAAAAGTCATAAATCAAACTTTCACTTTTTAATACATGGTTGCAAATCCTTTGCAGTCAATTACAGCCTGAAGTCTGGAATGCATAGACATCACCAGATGCTGGGTTTCATCCCTGGTGATGCTCTGCCAGGCCTCTACTGCAACTGTCTTCAGTTCCTGCTTGTTCTTGGGGCATTTTCCCTTCAGTTTTGTCTTCATCAAGTGAAATGCATGCTCAATCGGATTCAGGTCAGGTGATTGACTTGGCCATTGCATAACATTCCACTTCTTTCCCTTAAAAAACTCTTTGGTTGCTTTTGCAGTATGCTTCGGGTCATTGTCCATCCATTGTCCACTGTGAAGCACCGTCCAATGAGTTTTGAAGCATTTGGCTGAATATGAGCAGAAACACTTCAGAATTCATCCTGCTGCTTTTGTCAGCAGTCACATCATCAATAAATACAAGAGAACCAGTTCCATTGACAGCCATACATGCCCACGCCATGACACTACCACCACCATGCTTCACTGATGAGGTGGAATGCTTTGGATCATGAGCAGTTCCTTTCCTTCTCCATACTCTTCTCCCCATCACTCTGGTACAAGTTGATCTTGGTCTCATCTGTCCATAGGATGTTGTTCCAGAACTGTGAATGCTTTTTTAGATGTTGTTTTGCAAACTCTAATCTGGCCTTCCTGTTTTTGAGGCTCAACAATGGTTTACATCTTGTGGTGAACCCTCTGTATTCACTCTGGTGAAGTCTTCTCTTGATTGTTGACTTTGACACACATACACCTACCTCCTGGAGAGTGTTCTTGATCTGGCTTACTGTTGTGAAGGGTGTTTTCTTCACCAGGGAAAGAATTCTTCGGTCATCCACCAAAGTTGTTTTCCGTGGTCTTCCGGGTCTTTTGGTGTCGTTGAGCTCACCGGTGCATTCTTTCTTTTTAAGGATGTTCTAAACAGTTGATTTGGCCACACCTAATGTTTTTGCTATCTCTCTGATGGGTTTGTTTTGTTTTTTCAGCCTAATGATGGCTTGCTTCACTGATAGTGACAGCTCTTTGGATCTCATATTGAGAGTTGACAGCAACAGATTCCAAATGCAAATAGCACACTTGAAATGAGCTCTGGGCCTTTTATCTGCTCCTTGTAAATGGGATAATGAGGGAATAACACACACCTGGCCATGGAACAGCTGAGCAGCCAATTGTCCCATTACTTTTGGTTCCTTGAAAAGTGGGAGGCACATATACAAACTGTTGAAATTCCTACACCGTTCACCTGATTTGGATGTAAATACCCTCAAATTAAAGCTGAAAGTCTGCAGTTAAAGCACATCTTGTTTAGTTCATTTCAAATCCATTGTGGTGGTGTATAGAGCCAAAAAGATTAGAATTGTGTCGATGTCCCAATATTTATGGACCTGACTGCAGCCATGAAACCAAAGTAGAAAACAGCACTCGCAGCGCACACAATCTGAACCCACCAAACAATTTAACACAGGAATAAGAGCTTATGTTTTGGAAGTGGATATGTAAAGCTACTGGTTGACTTAATAACTGTATGTAAAATGTTTCTACTTTACTATTTCACAATATGCCAAACTGTCTTGTTAACAATGTAAATACAAAAATAATAAATTTTAAAAAAAATGTGTGTGGGTAAGCTGCTACTGAAAATTACTCCATTACCTCATTTTTAATACTCTGAGTTGTTTTCTTTTGCAAATGGTAAGTCATGATGGGATTAATTTTCATTTCTGGGCTGCCATAAATTCTCAAATGCAACATAGGCCCAGCAAACCAATCTGGCAGATTTCAATGTGTAAAAACTGAAAAAGGAAGTGGCCTACATTTAACCCTGTAACTTTCCAAAAACACATAAAACCTGTCCATACAGGATACAGATATATTTGGGAGACATTGCTGAACACAAAAAGTGTAATTTATTTCAGTGAAAGCAGACAGTACTATGACAATCACAGTTAAAACGCCATGCAGAACATGAAAAATAATATTTCTTATTTTTTCCCATTTTTATATTTTATTCATATTAAATTATGTTTCAGATAGAAATATTTGATGTGATATGAAAGCCCTGGTTCTCCTGAACAGAATGATATATAATAAGTGTGTGTGTACTAAATATGAAAGAGGTAAAGTATGGTTGAACAGACATATAGTTTAAATTCCACATTTTGTTTACAATTTGTTTTGATCAGAACATGTACAATTGCCTCCGTCCTTAAGGGGTTATAGCAGACGTGTGGCTGTTTTCCCATCCCACACACCATAGGCACCTGAAAATTTTTTATTAAATTCTGCTCCACATGATACATTGTGTGCTGGGAATAATGAAACGTAATTTGACAAGCAGTTTATATTATAAATTTTGAGTACTCTGCCCACAAGCTTACAATCTAAAATATTTAATCTCATGTTTAATTCCAGCGTTTGTTAATGTATTGTCTTCTTCCGTTAACGTGCTCTTAACATAGTTGCAATTTAAAATACAGTGCTAGGAGACAGTTGGTCGATTCTGCCTCTCTTATCTGCAATAATCTATACAAGTCTTTTTTCAGTTTGAAAAGCTTTTAATGTCTTTTTCTTTTTGTTTAAATGAAACATATCACTGTACTTGTAATTCGAAAGTGTTTCACTTATTCAGTTACTTCTGTAACTAATACTATTGTGTTTTTTTTTTAAATATGACAAGAGATTTTTTAAATCAGTAAGTAAGCAGTAAGAAATTACTGTCTGTCTATCATTTATCTGGCTGCCTGTCTGTCCTTCTGGTAGAGTAAAATTCTATTAGAGTGCAAAAGAAAATAAACCTGGTCTAAAATAACTTAAAAGTAACACATTGCATGTTACTTTTAAGGGTCTATTTTAACCCTTTCTTTATTGATACTTATTCGATTATTTATTTAAAAAGTTCTTATATAGCCCGCATATCCTGGTCTCTACACTTAATTTGGAAAATAGTCATAGGTAGGATACTAGATCACACGCTATGTAAAATAGAACTTGAATATAACATTAGTATATTTATACAAAGTGTGCCTTTAAACTCAACTCCTATTTTAATTTTATTTTTTAAATATTTTTAATTTAGTTGTTCATAGATATTACAAACAGGCATTCAATGCCACAGCAGCTAGTGCAAGCATTTCAGTAGACATAGAACGACAGTTATTTGGCTTTTGATAACACTTCACATTTTTATGAAATTAAATATTGTAGGATAAGAGAACAAACTAGGTCTACGTTGGCTAGAATGAGTGATGCGTCCGGAATTTTGCTTGCCATCGTTCGGCGCTATTCATATGACTCAGATGCAGGACACCACGAATTGGGGAACCTTAATGAGTGGCTCAGCATGGACTGGATAACACCCACTGGCCCAGAGGGGGGGTGGAATGGAACCCAAGTTGTCATCTGGTTGGTAAGTAGACAGGATATCAGCTGCGTCTCTCAACAAAAATCAAGTTGTAGGCCATAAGAGGCCCTGTTCTTTGAGGGTACTCTCAAACTTCAGGTGATTCAATCGGGAAGCTTCCAAGGTTCTCTCAAGTTCGGGTAAGCCATTAATAAAAAGTTTTATGGAGTAATTCTCCCCTTTTCTATATCAAAATCCTGATTCCCAGGACAGCAGCCCACAATTGGGGCTGTTTGGAGGCAGATTTATTGAATGAAGAGCAGCAATGTTTTGGCTCCTAAAAGAGCTCTGTTTGGAGCCAAAATGTTGCTGCTCTTCATCCAATAAACCTGCGTGCACCTTAGACCTGTTATCAGTCTCGTATTCTCTTATCAGCTGAAATTGGAGTCTGGTCATCTCTGGACTGGGGGCACAGGTTGCCTCTCTGAATGTTTGCCTATCCATCCCCTCTTGTCCTAACAGATTTGACAGTTGTCATATTGTAATTTGGAAGTTGGCATATAAACCACACCACAATGCCCATGAGATCTTTGAGTATAGATAATCTATCCTAGCTTATTGGTGTTCATTTTACTCTCCTTGAACGAGGAAGTTTTGAATTGCTTTCCTACTGGGACTATCACTGATGGCCCTGGGGTGTGAACAGGTTACAATAATATTGCAGAAGGAGCATTAATATATTTATTGATTTATTGTTAAAAGTCAAAGTGTTATATATCAGAATTTCAAACATATGTTTCTTAGAATATATATACCTAAATAGGATTCCTTTAATAAATGGTGTATTTTAAACATATTAAGTGTTTTATTTGATAGAAAACTAACTTTGCTGCTGTTGAGCTAGAATTCATGTGAAATCCCCATTTTTGTTTAAATGTTCTCATTGTTCATGAACATGGGAGTGCTATGTTTGCAATGATACATGATGCTTTCCTTGACAACATCCTTTTGGATGACTGTTCCCTCCTGAGAGCAGTGTTCGCTGCAGATCAGCAAACAAAAGACTTGGCTCTCTGTGTTTATATTTTATTTGCTTCAGGATAGTTTTTCGTCACTATAGCAACACAATACATTATGGGATCATATGTAGTCTGAGATACTCTCACTAAATAAAGAGTTAGGATGTGTTCCGGTCTGCTGGGTATATATTTTGACAGGTATTAAAGGGTAGTTGATGTTGCCCTCCCAGATGATAATGTGCAAGAAAGTGTAAGATTCTAATTATGAATATGTTTGTTTGTCGTGAACTGAATACATTGCAGAGTATGGTTCAACACGTGAAAGATGAGTATGGAATTCTTCTGGGTATTATAAGTCAGTGCAAGTACATAACATTTAGTTTTTCTATAACTAGAATATGGCTTCTTACTTATTCACTAAACTTTTACCTGGGCAATAGTAATGTATAAATTGATTATAAATAAATACATATAAACATGTGCTATTATAGGTGGAATGCAGTAGGCAAGCCAGGGGGAGAACCAGGGCACTTGCTCCCCAGAGAAGCCATGCCATTCGTATCGTGTCGGCAACATGGGCACAATGATTGACCACATCCACTATGTCCCCGATTGTCTGAAGTAGAGTTGAGCAAACCCAAACTGAAAAGTTTGGGTTTGTACCGAACATTAGGTTTTTTGGACCCCGGACACGAACACGGACATATGACTGTATGTTCGGGTTGGAGTTCGGAGTTTGGCGATTTAATGACACATTTTGAAAAGCCACAGGGCAGCCAATCAACAAGAAGCCATCACAGTCGTGCCTACTAATGGCATGGCTGTGATTGGCCAGTGCAGCAAGTGACCCAACCTCTATAGAAGCTGGTCACTTAGTATTGGTAGATTAAGGGAGACCTAAAGATGTCATTGTATGCAGATAACACCCTTCTATATATAGCAGAACCAGAAAAATCATTGATTCAAATAATGGCAGAAATTGACCAATATAGCAGGGTATCAAATTATAAATTACATTTGGATAAGTCTATAGCAATGTACAAAAACATAGATTCGGATATAATAAAAAAAACTCCAAGATAAATATAAGTTTTTTCAATCAGCTGAATTTGTTTATTTGGGCATTAGAATAAATAAAAACCCAGAAAGGTTAATGGAAACACATTTTCTACATCTTTTAAAAAACACTAATAAAGATCTAAAGGAGTGGCGCCAATTAGATATATCATGGTGGGGCAGAGTGAATACTCTGAGGTCATACGTTCTCCCAAAGTGGATCTATCTCTTTGGATGATACCACTAATAATCCCCATACCATGGTTAAAAATGATAAAGTTTTCTTTTGCTAATTTTGTATGGAGGGGTAAAAAGCGTAGAATAAAATCAGAAATATTAAGTTGTAATATAAATAAAGGCGGAGTAGACTTTCCAGATATAGAGAAATATTATGAAGCTGGTATAATCGCCCATACTGCAATGCTACAGAAAGAAATTCTTTCTAAAGAGGGATGGCATTGGATAAAATTAGATCTTTGCCATACTAAAAACCTATCCGATGTAGTATGGAGTAGTAAAGTTTGTGACTACTCATCATCATTTGTACTGAAACAATTAATACCTACATGGGAAAAAATAAAGAAGAAATTAGATATTAAAATTAGATTTTAGGTTTTCAAAGCATAGATTGCATTCAATTAGATATACCCAATATCTCTTAAAAAAATTGTAAAGAAGTAAATATTATACACATCAAAGATCTAATAATGAATAATAAAATGAAAGATTTTTAAACATTAACAAGGTTAATGTCCCTGCCAACTAAGGAGGCTTTTACATATTTAAGAGTCAAAAACTATCTGAAGAATCAAACACTGATGAATGGAGATAAATATAATTCATTGAAACTGATACTCAATAAGAAGGAAACAAAAAAACCTATTCTTTAGGTGTTTTAAACTAATAGACACGAGAAAATCAGATAAACAACCCTCGGCAATTAAAAGTTGGGAATAATCCTTAGATTTGCATATAGAGAGAAGAATGGTTTGAGGCATTGGCCAAGACAAATAAATATGTGCATAACCTTTTATTACTGGAGACACACTACAAGGTGATTAATAAATGGTATTTAGTTCCCTCTAAAATGACTAGAATTTCACAAGATAATAGCGAATTATGTTGGAGATGTGGTGAATTAAAGGGTGATTACCTCCACATATGGTGGAATTGTAAAATAGTGACTCCTCTATGGCTACTGGTTAAAGTATTATTGTACAAATTAATAGATATAAACTTAGATAATAGACCAGAAATTATGTTGCTGCACTTATGATGGCCAAGCCTGAACAGAATGAAACAGGCGATGATGATACATTGCCTAATAGCGGCAAAACTCATAATAGCCAGAAATTGGAAGAAGACACAGTTATTCACCAACATACAGCTTATTCAACAAGTGAAATACCAGCTACGAATGGAATAGGGGAGTCATTAAAATTAAAAACCAAAATAAGGACCAGGAAACATGGGGCAAATGGTTAAAAATATTAGAGCAAGAAGAGCTGGCACAATTATCTAAATGTAACTAAAAGTGCAGTTATTTCCCATGTAGTGATTTTCCATCTTTAATGGAAGAATTACTAGGGACACTACTGTACAGAAGGATGCGAATGGAGGTATGAATGGTTTAAATTTTGTCTGCTTTTTTTTTTTTTGGTACTCTCTCCTCTTCCATTTTCCTTCTTTCTCCGGTTAAGGATATCCCCTTGTTAGAAGTAGAGAAACATGATGCCCTTTTAGGGGAAATGCAGGTAGTTTTAAATAAATAAAGTAAGTATAGGGAAGGGAGGAGAGATCAAAATATTTATGATGGTTAATTTATCAGCCATAAACAATGAAGTATGTGAAATTCTTAAGAGGCTGATATAGTCTGAAATATAAAAAAAAAAAAAAAATTATTAGTAAATTATGCCCCTACTCGCTATACCGCGAGTAGGGGTGTGTCTATTAAACAGGCCCCTCCTCGGCAGGTGGGGGTCCTAAATAACAATCAGGGGGGGACCTAAGGTCCTCCCCCCTGGTCCCCACCCCCCCCGCAGTGGGTGGGGGCCATAAATAAAAAATGTCCCCCACCCAGGTGACTAGGAGTCCCGAAACCCCTAGTCATCCCCCTCCCTACAAAAATAATTACCCCTACCTACCCCCCTCATCATAAACATAATGAGGGGGGACCCTTGTCTAAATACCTGTAAAAAAAAATAAACTTACCATTTGCTGTCTTCTTTCTTCTAAAATCTTATTTTTTCAACCCCAAAAGAGGCCAAATAAAAATCCAGAATAACCAACACACTTTAAAAAATAAAAAAATAAAAAAATCGAGCACAAAAAAGTAATAATCCTTCTTCACCCATGGAGGGCTCCACGTAGACTGAGCTCTGCAGGGCGGGGGAAGGCTTATAAAGCCTTGCCCTGTCCTGCAATTAGGCTCAGAGCACTCTGATTGTTGGGTTTAAGCCATCCAATCAGAGTGCTCTGACAGGTAAATGAAGAGACTGACAGGTAAGTCTCTGGGAAAATTCCAAAGAACTTTCCCACGCTGTGTAAAATGACACAGAGCACTCTGATTGGTTAGCTTGAGATCCAGCCAATCAGAGTGCTCTGGTTCATTTTTACAGCGTGGGAAAATTCCAAAGAACTCACCTGTCAGTCTCTTCATTTACCTGTCAGAGCACTCTGATTGCATGGCTTAAACCCACCAATCAGAGTGCTCTGAGCCTAATTGCAGGGCAGAGCAAAGCTTTTTAAGCCTTCCCTCGCCCTGCAGAGCTCAGTCTGCGCGGAGCCCTTTTTTTTTGGGGGTGCCTAAAAAAAAAGAAGATTTTAGAAGAAAGAAGACATCAAATGGTAAGTTTATTTATTTATTTTTTACAGGTATTTAGATAAGGGTCCCCCCTCATTATTTTTAGGATGAGGGGGGTAGGTAGGGGTAATTTTTTTTTGGGTGGGGAGTGACTAGGGGTTTGGGGATCCCTAGTCTCCGGGGGGGGGGTTATTTATGGCCCTGCCCACCACTCAGGAGTGGGGGCTGGGGGGAGAACATTAGGCCCCCCTTAATGTTATTTAGGGCCCCTATCTGCCATGCAGGGGTGGAGGCCTGGGGGGAGGACTTTAGGTCCCCCCTTATTGTTATTTAGGGACCCCACCCACTGCGCAGGGATGGGGGCCGGAGGAAGGACATTAGACCCCCCCTTAATGTTATTTAGGGCCCCCATCTGCCATGCAGGGGTGGGGGCCTGGGGTGAGGACTTTAGGTCCCCCCCTTATTGTTATTTAGGGACCCCACCCGCTGCGCAGGGATGGGGGCCGGAGGGAGGACATT